CTATATATATATATATATATATATATGGATATTGCAATTGAAGAACGTAAAAAGAAGTACTTTTTTCCCATTTCCTCGATGTGCCGTCGGCATTTTCTGGAAACGTGTCACTATTGCGAAGAATTAAAGCCATCCGTTGGAAATTTCAGAAGAGACAATAGAGGCCTCGATAGTAAGTGATATCTACAGACAAGATTCGTAGTTTTTATCGAATCTCTAACATATTGCGAAACTTTTTGAAGTCGATCCAAGTACACATCGTCCATCGATAAAGAAATGCTTATTTACGAGGAGGATAGAGCCAGGATGTTTGCGAAGAGTTGCAGTAAAGTAAGTCATTCCATCCATTACCACAGAGCAATTTTTTTGAGTGAAATATCTATTTTTTTGCCGCTATAGTATATTTTTGATTCATAAAAAAGTTCGTTCTCGTCTGGAAAGCGCGGAGGTGAGACCCTCGAACACGAAATGGGTGTGACCTCTATGAAACGAATCCCTGTACTCTGCGATAGGTTCTACTCTCATATTGAATCTGATAATCGAAACGAAGCATTTTGCATGCTCAGTTCCTATTAATGTCAATCACACTTTAGATGAATCTCTCCCAGTAGCCTGACAGAACTGGACGGCCAAGTGTATTAATGATTTCACGACTCGGCATGTTTACTCCGGTATACAACTGAGTTACAGGTCTGGGCGACCGAATGTCATTCAGAAACTGTTCGTTAGTAGTGAGAAACGATTAAATGAAGTACTTATGAAGAATGTTAACAAACTCATGCAGATAAGGATACTCATTGGATTCGCCAACCGAACAAAACGCACAGAGTCTTGAATTCAAGCTCTCCTGTCACGACTCTTAACTTACTCCAAGCATCCCTTGGGCACCCTTGATGAGTGCCCCGCGACTACAAGCATTCCATGGACTATAGTTTGGAGAGTATCCACACCCACACCCACAGAGTATCGTTCCGGTGCTGTTAGACTGATGGTAAGAAGCAAATAAACACACATTTATCTGCACAAGACATTAGGCATCACCTTTGTAGAGCGATATGACCAAATGTCGTACTTGGTCCACTTGTAGCCGCCGCGATCTTTCATTATAGATTGTTGCAACCAAGATAATTTTGCAGTATTTTAGGTGGCAACGAAAGAGTGCATCGATTGAATGTCTCTTGAGACTTTCTATAAAAGCATCAGCACATTCACATGGCCTTTATTTGCTATGCATCAATGTACATTTTGAGAACAATTGTGATCAAAATACGAAATTAAAAGCATTAGGACTTCTTTTAACAAATGAATTTGTACATACATATCAATGGATAGAAATGGGAATAAACGTATAACATAAGACAACTCTGTTGATTACTCGTTATTTGTTGTGAATATACTTGTGCAAGCAGCTTCTAGTGTCATAAACAGGTATTACAGAACATATACCTTCAAAGAAAAATAAGTATTCATATCCTTCACAATATATTCAGTAATAAAATACACCGCCGTCGCAAGAAAAATAGAAATTGGAAGTGCCGGAAGGGCGTGCAGAAGGTCACGAAATACAAACAATGACACTAGTGTCGCAATCATACCACTGAGAATCGTAACAAGGCAAAAGAAAAAAGGCAAAAAGCCTGACATGGCTGCCCTTCCGACAAGAAGAGCATAAAAGATAAAGTCTCCCAGTCCTAATTTAAAAGGAGAACTGTGCTTAAGGTAAGCCACCAATGGCAGCTTTTGATTGCTACCCTCCTGACGAGGAGGTGGGATTCTTTTAGTATCACTATCTACAGGTATGGGCTGCTGTTCCTGGAAAGTCACTACCGGACGAAGTGTTCTTGAACTGTCATAAATAAAACCAGGAATCGGCTCGTTTTGAGTCTCTGCGGCTTCTAGAAGCAGCTTAAGGGGGCCATGAGGGCACAAAACTGCCAAAATATCGTAAGTAGCGATTGCCAATAATATAGCCCAGGTTGTCCATTCTGGAAGTGCCGTCAACGACCATGCTAACAGAACTGATGCGAAGACAAGGTAGAGCTGTGTAAATAGCGGATGAACATAGTAAAACAAAGAAACCATTCCTACCGCACCAAGGTTCCATATTAATAAAGTCATGGTAATGATATCATATGGTATTTGAAAACGGGTGCACACTAAATCTAGCCATTCCCACATCGCGATGAACAAAATAGAGCCAGCAGAAAACATAAGCCAGCAGAATAAAATTCCGGTACAGCGGTATTTGTATAAAACTAGTACGAGAAATGTCATGATAACTACAACTGCTATCAAACAACACGCATTCAAGAAGGAAGCTCCCAATTTGTCAAAGGCACTGTCTTGATTTTCCTCGTCCACCAGCAATGTCAATGGAGATTCTTGACTAAAAGCTGAAATAGGTGTCAGGTTGTTAACACTCCAAACCACTAAAATCATGGTTGCCGAAACAGGTGCTAGTAAGGACACAAAGCGGCCTCCAATACCTCGAGAAAATGTGTCTGAATTAACTTTTGTCGACATTGCATGCAGACAATAAATATGTAAATCCTGTGGATAACTAACTTCTTTACATGAAAAGAGCAAAATATGAAGAAGAGTCGCTTCTCTGTGCCGCAGTCGCTACTTGTCAGATAACCAGCATCGATACCGTTTACGCATTCATGTTGAAGGCAAAATATCAAATTCACAAGGAAACGCTTCACTAGCATGCCCCTAATCTAAACAGTTTTAAAAGAAAGCGAAAAAAGAAACTTAACCGACATAAAGAATAGCTTTATAAGCCACTGGCTCATAAA